TCGTAAAAGTCAAGACTACGGAGATAACACTTTGGAATAAGTTGCTTACATTGGTAATGAGTCAATTTATAAATCTAACACAGATTTCAGACTTAAAGCCTAGGCGTCGGTTCTGCCGATTTTAGATTCTCATAGAGAAAACTGAGAAAATTTGAATCCAGTTTTGAGAGCTTTTTTTTAAAGTCAAATAGTTCGCGCTGCACTTTGATGAAATATCTTACCACTTTAGTAGTCAATAATGTTATTTATATACTAAATGAATACGAGAGTAATCGCAATAGTGAACTCTACTTAAGCAATAATGGAAATTAGCAGTAGTGCTTTTTACCGGTGAAGATTACTTTCGTTTTCATTTATTAATTCGCAGGTCACTTATGCGATTTTCATATCTTCGCAGTCCTTTAACATTATTTACAATCCAAAAGCAAATTGGAAGCAAACTTAGCGTAACTTTGACACACGCGAAGTTCCAATGATTCGCCCACGATTGAGCATTTACAGATGCTATTTGACACGTTACTTTCAGTTTCTCAGAATTTTAAATTGCTTTTTGTTTCTCTTTCTTTTCTGTTGATTGATTTAAATTTGCGTTTTCAAGACATCTAACCACCCTCGCATCTTTTCCAGGACTACAGGGTTATACACTAAAACCTTAGCGAAAATCATTTTACACGATGTCACCAAATCTATGACTGTTTTCGTTGTCATCTTCCTCTCCTTCTGTGGTGCAATAGCTTTATCTCTCCGTTACTCCACTGAAAACCACCACTTTAGGTGTGTATTGATCTCTCCTTCATGAAGCTTTGTTTTATTCTGGAAAAGAGTTTCTAGCAGGGGTTTTGCTCATTGGTTTGTTTAAGGAACAATGCCAGTGTTAGTTGGCAGTTTTAAGATCAAAACTATTTGGTTTGGTTGACCGAGAAATTCTCAATATTTACATTTCAAAATTACAATGAGAATTATTTGAATCAAGGAAATTTGAGCTTCCAAAACGGCATGGTCTTCATTGAGCCCCAGTTAAGTGCTGAAAAATGTATCATTTAAATTTGCGATGATTTTTGTATTTATATTTTTCTTAGCTTGGCCTACCACGTCACGAAACAATCATGTGTTCTCGTCTGCTTTCTTTAAATATATTACGCATATTATTATTTTAGGAACCTTGAAGACGTGTTTATCAGCGGATTTCGTGCATTGACCGAACAACAACCTATGGTGGTAGAAGATTACTCAGCATTCAAGTAAGTGCGACTGACAAGGAGAAATCATTTTTAGCAATTTTGGTTATCTAGATTATTTAGTGATATCTACCACTTGGACGTTGCAATTATAGGCACAAAATATACGAACACGTCTCTACAAATCAGTTTATATTATTCGTCGTAGTTTCGAACGAGAGCGTGGCTAATTATAATGGTGCTTCTCCAACGCTAAAAGCAATGGTAAGCTTGCCCTCACTCGTTGCACTCCAGTCAAGTAACCAGCTGCAGACCTCCTTTAACGCAGGCATCTTCTTAAGAGAGCAATATTTCTGGAGCTGGGGTTATAATCCTGAAGGAGGCTCTGTTTTGGAAAGTTTGCAATTTTTTAATCCCAGTGGTGTATCTTGCAGCTGGCTTTCAATTCTGCTGATGATGGCGTACATGGGAACAGTGACTGTGATTCTCCTCAACATTCTTATTGCACAAATGAGTACGACCTTCACTCAGGCCAAGAATGTCGCTCGTCTGGAATATGATGTGGATCGTATTTTACAGCTCACTCGCATGGAGAGATTTCCTTTTCTGGTATGAACGAATTCGTCGCTAATGAATGTGCGGCGTCTATGAGGGAGATAAAGAACCGGCAGGGGAAGGAGGAGGTTGTGAATATCTGCATTCCTCGTTTTACATCTTTATTTTCTTATGCAGAACCTGCGGGTGAAATATTACAAAGAGGGAGATTGGATCAGTGAAATGAAACTCGCGCAAAGTAGGAGTGAAGTATTTTACGAGGACTGCTTCCAGCTGCATTGTTATCTACAGCGCTATGAGAAAATTGTTGTTGTTTTTTTTTATATTGTTTCTTATTTCTACCTTTCTGATGGTGAGGAGCTGAAGGATACCTACTTATTCAGCTAAAATGGGAAAATATACTTTGCTTTCTCATGCCTTAACAGGTATAACGTTCTTTGTGTTCTGAAATGTTATCTTGGTTTGTTTTTAGAACTTCTTGAATTTAGTGAAGATCGCAATTCTTGAGAGTCGGTGGAACAGACACTTATAGAGATAAGGCAGCAATAATGCCTTCATTGCCTCCCTTTTTCACTATCAGCTTCTTTATTAGCCCCATCCACTACACTGAGCGCATTTTGATCGAATTCTTTGAAGCCAAAACTGAAGTCTTGACAGTGACCAATCAGATAAAGGGTAATCATAGGGTAAGCTTACTTATCCCACCCCACTCTTCCATTTTTTTGTGCGTCAGCAGTTTTCTATATTGTGAGTTTCTCTCTCCAGGGACATTATGAGAAAAATGGTCAAACAGATGAGGCCAGGACGAGAATAAACGGATTTGTTGGTGTTCTTGACGACTCAACGAGGGATATATTACTTCCGCTTTCTTTGGAATTTGTATTCACTTGTAGTTTGTACGCCACTAACGAGAAAAGAAAGAAGTTCAGGCCGAATTTCTTATCAGGCAACAAAGAAAGCGGTTATGATGACAAACAGTTCGAGAAAACTACTGTAAACACCACTCTGACACAGTTGTGGTGATGAAAGGAGATAAAAACTTAATGGGTATCACGTAGTGAATGGTAAATATAAACAAGATAAGCACCACCAGGCCTTTCGTCATGTTCATGTTCATTTGCCCATCTGAAAGGCGAGGTTGTTGTCAAGACATTTTACTTAGTCAGCTCATCATTGCAAATAATTCAATGGCAAAGTCCATTTGCACTTATAGGCCACTCGTGTTCTATGTCAATGAATACCTTACACCATGTAATGTTGTTACAAATGTTTTAAAGATTTCCGTGTATGCCCATACTAGTAAAATATTTCGCCATTTTTTCTTTATCAAGAAACTGTATCCACAGTGAGGTATGGGGCCGTACACAAATCTTTGTTAAATGTTTTTTCTTATTCAATCACCACTTATCCATTGCGCAGATTTTTAGATTTAAAATTGGTATACTTTATTTGGGAAACGTTTACGCGGAACGAATAGTGAACGAATGCCACAGCATATGATGTCATAGGTGACTTTTATTAACTCCTGTTAATGGCATGTGTTATGCTTATATCTTTTGACAAGTTAAAGTCCTATCTGTAAACAATTTCTAATTGTGCAGTAGATTATTAGCATTTTGAAATGAATCCTTACATGCTTAGAAAAAGTAATTAGTTATCCACCGTATAGCCATTAACATTTTCGACGCACTTCAATTTTTTTTTACTATTTTTTATTTCATCCACTGTCTTTCTTTCGGCTTGAACTGATTTCCATAACACACACCCAAGTCATTACGTATATAGTTAACTGATTGGTAGGTGAGGGCAAGGTTACATGGGTAGATAATTATTTAAGTAGCCAACATTTACATCACATATCTATTGAAGGCTGTCCTAAAGTCCGTCTTATGGAATATTCGAGCTGGTATAGCAAAGGACCTGCTTGGATTTTTTCACCTTTCAGATTAAATATTCTCTTTTCATCAAAACCATCGGGAATCCAATCATTTTCCCTCCTTTCCGCCGGGTATACGATTATCAGTTTATCCACAAGTTCTTTGTTTCCTGTGAACGCGTCGAGTATAACTTTGCCGTCAAACGTAATGAAACCATCTTCAGTTTCTTGCTTCTGGTCTTTGATGAGTGAGGACGCCTGGCTTGTTCCGAACAACACGACGCAGTCACTGCTGCGAAGTGCCCAAGAAAGATTCCGTTTCTGTGCTAAAATGCCCGCGATACTTCTTAAGTCAGCTATATTTCTTAATCTGCCCTGTAAATAATCTTCGAGTCTTTCGGCCGCGTCGCAGTCGTGTCCAGTGTTAAGGAACATAACGTACTTCATTTTCGATTGGAATATGTGCACAACAGTACAAATGATTTGTTTAAGCTGGGTTTGCGGTGTTGGTTAGCACCCGTGAATTTATATCATAGGGATAGGACTGGAGGAGGATGACTATTTTAAGTAAGAAATGCAAAGTAGGCGTTTTACACGTCAAGAACAAGGTGGGTGCCGATGAAAACGCCTTTACCTCATAGTATCGACCTGAAGCGAATGCATGAAGAACGTTGGTTAAAGAAGAATATCATCAAAAGTGTCAACGGTTAAACATGTGAATTGCCATTGACTTTGATCTTGAGATTCAAAACTCGTGAAAACTAATAAGGGCGTGACCTGCTGCCGTGCAAGAGTTACTCCATGGTGTTGAAAATTTTCTAGAAAAAGAAACACGTCACCAAATGTAGCTGTACCTTTTCATATGAAAATTATATTTTCCATCCAATTAGCACCTATCGTAACGCAGGAACAGCCCTTGAAAACACTCTTCTCTGCTTGCGCAAATTGGGTTTGAATGCTGTTTGCCTCGTGTTAACTAGTAGGGGGGTCGTAAAAAATAGTTGATGTTCTTTAATGTAACGAGCCGTTTCACCCTTTTTTCGTTTAATATTACTAACACTACTTCCACTGTGGGACAGATTTGAATTCTGCTCGATGCTATGAAGTTTTTTGGTTCCCATAATAATTTAAACATCCCTCAGGCTATGGCAAAAGATTATTAACTGTTATGATCTCTTGGCCATGGATATTTTGAATTAAATTATTATAAAAGTTGGGAAAGAAATATTAAAAAATAGAAAGAAAGAAGGGAATTAAATAACCTGTTAATTAAGCCGCAGGTCCCATCCCCAGGTCCCTTCGTGTAAGAGCTCGAGGAGCGGTTACTTTTACGTTGAGCATTTCGCCTGCGAAGCAGGCTCTAAATTATCACATAAATTATTATGAAAATTATGAAAAAAGTTGAGGAGGATTTTATTGTTAAAGATAACAGTATCAAAGAAAATGCTCAGACTAAAACTGACCGTCACCACGAAGATTTCTTGTCCATTCAGTATGACAGAAATTTCTGGATCGAGGTAATTTAGCTAAATTAGGAAATCGACTACTGTTGACGCTTATGCTTGAAAATCATTGTTAAACTTAATCTTGATGCCGATCCGGATTTAATATTCCCTCAGTATATCGGAAGAAAACTCTCGCGGAAAATATTTCCTCAGCTGTAAATCGTCAGTTTAATCATCCTCGTGACAAACTTTGAGTAGACTTTTGCTGCATAACAGCATGTTTAGCTGTTATTAGAAAATTTACAACTGTTACAGTACTAGTTGATCAAGTTTACTTGTATTTTACATTGCCATTCACAAAAACTAGGGATGAAGCAAATAACTAGCCTTTTATTTCATATCCCAGTGAAATTTTTTGTTGAAAACGCAACCTGAAAACCAGGTTACTGTGGCTCCATAAGTTTTACTCTGATCATGACGCACACGCCGGCGTTAAGTTTTCATGGTTTAAGTGTTTTGTCTTCGAGGTCACTAAAAATGATCAAAATGTATTGAGCAAGGGTCGGACTGTTGTTTTATGCCATTAATATTAATGTAAGGTTTTCTTTTAGCTTTTATAACCTTCCTCAATTCTAATGATATGTGCAATTTGTCCTGCCGATTATTTATATTGGAAAGAAAACGGGGTCACCCAGGCAGCTTTTTATAAACTTTTGTTTTCTGCCTCCAGCTTGAAATTGATCCTCTATTGCTCGCTATTCATTAAGTCATACTTTAAAACTTGCTCAAGGTCGATATTTGAGCATGCCTAAACTTTTGAATCTTGCGCGGTCAAAAAACACTATGGAGCCTCTTTATTTCGACTCTACTCTGTAGGTTAGTCTGAAGCGGAGTCATGGAATGTTGTGGAACAGAGCTATAGATGAAGTCCAAGTTGAAAGACTGATTCAGACTTACAAGGATAATGGGGAACTGGATAGTGAGGATCCAGCTTTGTTGATGTTGAAAATTTGGCCTTCATCGAAACAGTACAAAGATAATCCTGAGAAGCTTCAAGGCTTGGAAGAACTGGTATTTTAATTATATATAAAACGGCGTTGACTGCCTTGTTTGTTTCTCCACTACCTCTTTCCTTGGTGTAAAGAAATATACCATCATGAAGTTTGGCTGTTAGTACATATCCAGAGTCTTTAGGATACTTTGTAATGCTCTTAGAAATAAGTTAAATAGATTGTTATGCTATAAATTTGGCATGTGTAAACTTGTAGTCAATTTTTTATCTGTGCATCGTGTGTCTATAGTCTTCAGCTTAGTAATTTGATGATAACTAGTTTCTGCCAAACACTTAAATTTTCCAATTCTGTGTGGGAGATAGCAGTCTTGTTTCCAACTTATCAAATTGAATGCAACTATTATTTTAATAGATACCATGAAGAAAGTAATTGACCACTGAGTTATTATATCATGCTATAAGAAATCATCTGTATGTGTTAATTTATAGGCTATTGGTGAGCAAAATGAAACCTTGCTGATTTTAAAGCAGTATTTGAAAGAAGGATGGATGTCTTATTGCAGATAAATCGTTTGCTGGAAATTCTGCTAAGGAGTGACTTGAATTTGGGCAACAGATATGAGACATTCAGAGATGTGAATGACAAGACTAAGAGAACATTACTACACTATGCTGCAGAACTTGGATTTTTACAAGTTGCCAAAACACTTGTGAAGCAATGTCCATCATTGCTCTCTCTGGAGACAAAACGACCTAGGACAACAAGAGCCATGTTACCAGTTGAGGTGGCTTTACTGGCAGAGAAAGATGAGGTAGCGGCATATCTCATAAGAACGATGTGGCATGAAAGGTACAGAGAAAATAGTACTAGCCAGAAGTCTAACTTTGAATGAGGCTTCATGATTTGGAAAAATGATGGAGGGCTTAAATTGGAAACTTTTTTCACAATTATACTTATAAAGTAAAATTATTGTTTTATCTAAGATGTTAGCCTGTATTTTTAACTTTAAATGTCAATTTAATAATTTGATTGAAGTTATTGATAGCAATAGCCTTGACTTATACAGTGGCTAATCATGTAAGTTATATACACATACAGTTGAATCTTGATAAGCCAAACCCTCACTTATAATTTGAACCTCACTCTAAATCAAATCAAATTTGATTCCCTTGGACTCCATCATACATTTATTACAATTTTAGGCTCGGTAACTCAAACCCTGGCTAACTCACACCTTACATTAAAACAAAGCAATTTTTGTTTCTCTTCAGATCATCTTTTATATATTTTTGGATTCAATAACTCAAATCAGTGCGTATTGCAGTCCAAAACATACATAGTGGATGTATTAGAATGAGATGAAAACAATCTGTTCTGTTTGAAACCTGACCCAACTTTTTTGGCAGATCTCAGAACATAATGCAGATGATGGTCACAATGCACTAGACAATCTATTTACATTTAATCCTAGAGTCCAAAGCCTATTTTCCTGGAGACCAGATGACATGACAAAGCCTCCTCAACCATCTTTCTTCAGTTTCAAGTCTCTTATTGAAAATCCCAAAATGAAGGTGGGAAATTTATAGTTTTTCATTAGCATGCAACATCTTACTGATAGGAAACATGAATAAGAGTACTGCCCTCTTGAAAAACTCTGGTAGAGTGTTATATAGGTGTTAGAAAAGAATAGTCAATATCTTATGGGTACACAAATAACCTACTCTAACAAACCTGGGCCAGTACCTTATAGGCATCATGTACAGGTTTGCTTATGTAAGGAAGACCTTGGTGCATGTTTGGAAAGTTTTCCTTTTCAGACTAAAACTTTGGAAATGGATGATAAAGGAGAAGGGGGGGGGGGAGGTCAGACTAATTGGGGAACAGCCCTTATTGGAGATTTAGTGGAGAGAAATTCAATAAAGAGGGGTACCAATGTATGACACTTTGGGAATTCATTTTTCTACATACATCCTAATGTACAAATTTTATAATTATATTTAAAATGTGTTCTTTCTTTGTGTGTGGTACATATCTTTTTGTCCAGAAAACGACATTGGCTCTGCTAGACCAGATGGTGAATCCTCACTGGCCACATCTTCCAAAACGTAAAGAAAGTTACAAAAATGAACATGAGAAGGAAGGAATTGAGGGAGCTTGGAGGACAATCACTGATGATCCTATGGATTATCACTTTTACTATCATATTTTGGATAGTGATGAGGGTGGATGCCCTCCAAGGCTTACAATGCCTGGCAGAGAAAAGCAGATAGACAACAAACATTTCAGCTGGAGAGATAGGTCTTGTTTGCATTTAATTGCAAAGAGCAAAAATAAGGTAAGGCTATAAACCTGCAATCTGCTCTCTAATGCCTACTCTTACTATTAGACTATGAGAAATGGCGACGGAGTTAACAGCAACATTAAATTTTCATTTTTATCTGTAGTGTATTGAAACTATTACAAAAATATGAGCATGGCATAATTCAAACTAAAATATGGATATCAAAAAATGTCTTTGTGCTAAACTTGTATCATATTCACCTTTTTCTTTGAAATGTACTGCCTGATTTTCATTTTTAGGAGGCCTTACAACATCCTGTGGTTAGAATGTTGGTGAAAACAAAATGGAAAAGTTATGGACACTTTTTTCTGAGGTATACTTTATACATGTTTGTATAAAGGGGTGAACATTTAGTGGTGTAAGGAATTAAACTAAACAAAGGGGAAACATTGAGAGAGATGCATCCACTAAAACAGAAAAGTTTTCACAACAATGAACCAAGTTACCAAAAAAATCTTTGTATATCATCTTAGGAAAAGTAGTGTCCACTGTGTACTAAGAGATAGAACAGGAAATTAATGATGTCCCCTATCTCTTATCTCTACCAAAGACAAAATGATGATTTTGTGAAAAAGCTACATGAAGGTGTCAGGATGTAGGGTGTAAATCTTTTATTAAAAATAATTGGAGTAAAAACTCAAATAATGGCATAATTTACTATCACCAACTTTTCCCAAATTTTTCCCACAGCCTTCAAGCAGCATTGTATGTGATCTTCTTGCTGTGTTTGTCATATTCTTCGCTGAGTGCTTCCACAACAGTAGACCCCACCCAATATGGGGGGGAAGCTGATTCACTGCGTGGATTTTGTGAGATTTTCACCCTAATTATGGTGGTCTTTTACATATGTGAAGAAATTAATCAAATGAGATTGTAAGTATGCAATTCTAGTGAGTGTAAAATCAGGTTAAAACACCATTTTTTGCCAAAGCTCAGGACATTTTACCATTAGCAAGTGTTCATGTAGGTTGATATAGATTAGGGAAGACTTGGTAGTAGTTTAGAGGTGGAATTAATTATTACTTTGAGCGTTTGCCCTTTGTCAGATTGAGTAGAGGTGATGGAATTGTTAGGTCATGGTAAGGTCATGGTAGGGTTAAAAACATAAGAATGAATTAATTGAATGAAAAGTGTTCTTTCCAAACCTTTAATCTGTCTTATTTCCCTTAGAGAGGGGAAGTCGTACTTCACAGAATGGATGACCCTGTTTGACTGGTCAGGCCTGTTGCTTATCCTGTGTATAATACCCTTGCGGTACACGCAAAGTAAAGCTCAGTGGCTTGTGGCATCTTTAGCTTTCTTGTTCAACTTCCTGAGGATCTTTAAGTTTTCTTGCCTGACAAGGTAAACTGGATCATAAGCTACGTTTGATAGGTTTGAGAGAATGTCAGCAAATTAGAACAAGAAAATCATATCTGTGAAACTTACTCACACAGTTGGCTTAGGTTTGGATTTTGGTTAACAAGCCTAATTTATAATTAGTGCAACCCCACCATCTTGGCACCTTCATGATGGACATTTGGAAGTTTTTAAAACGTCTCAACGAAAAAAAGGTATAGAACAGAAAGATTAAAAAAAGGCGTCCTAGGAGAGGAGGCAGACGGGAGTAATGGAATTAAAAGAATAAAGAAGATGGGCAATTTTGTTAAAAAAGCCAAATGCTTTCCATGGAGCCGACGCATGGCAACGTGTCGACCCCCCCTGAAGTTTTCTTAGAAGACTGTTGAAAACTGTTATATTCTTATTAAGTATAATTCGAACATCATTATGTATCACATAACTTGTGTCCTTAATGTAATAGAACCGTGTATATTTTTTTTCAGGACAACCGGATTATACACAAAAACCTTGGCTAAGATCATTTTGCACGATGTGACAAGATCCATGGCGGTTTTTATTGTTATCTTTTTCTCCTTCTGTGGTGCTTTGTCTTTATCGCTCTGTTACTCCGATGAAAACCAACAGTTTAGGTATGTCTTAATCTTGCTTGCTTAAATGCTACTGAATAAATGTGTTGAATTATTTGGTTGGCTGATGTTTACTCTGCACTATCTGCGAATTTTAGTTGGATGAAATGTATATGATAACACCTGAAGTGATATGAAATTTCTGTTAATGTGTTGCAGATCAGTCTATGTGTTACAGTCCATGCTAAATCCATTTTTTTTTTTTTACATTAGTGACTTCGGAGATGTGTTATTGAGTGGCTTTCGCGCGCTCTCTGAACAAAGACCAATTGCTTACGATTATTCAAATTTCAAGTGAGTTGATTTTTCTCTAAAAGGTCGAATATGTTTTTACTCCGTTTACTTGTTCAGATCTCTTTACCTTAAGATGAGTTTATTACCACTAAGATAATAGGTGAAACTAACCACGTAAGAGCATTTGATTTATTCCTTGCAGCTGGCTCTCCATTCTGTTAATGATGGCCTACATGGGGATCGTGATAGTGATTCTACTCAACATTCTCATTGCACAAATGAGTACGACCTACACACAGGCCAAGAAAGTCGCCCGTCTGGAATATGATGTGGATCGTATTCTACAACTCACACGCATGGAGAGATTTCCTTTTCTGGTAAATGAACATTCTTCGCTAATGGAATTGTAGCATTTTATCATTAAGCGTGCACCGGTGTTCGTGATTGACGCTAAGTGGCAGCGTGCATTAGCGCCATACGTGACTGTGAGCGTGAGGAGAAGAACGTACCGTTAGGGTAGGAGGGGGCTTAGGTATAGTTGTATTCTTCTGCAATTGAGGGGTGGCCTCATAGACTTAATTACTTTTACATCTTTTCTTTATGCAGAATCTGCGCGTGAAGTATTACAAAGAGGGAGACTGGATCAGTGAAATGAAACTCGCCCAAGGTCTGCGTGAAGTATTTAACCAGGACTACTTTCACGATAATTTTTATGCGTAGCAATCGGCAAAAACAGTTTTTTTTAGTCTTGTATCCTATTTGTACTTCTCTGAACGAAGGGAGATGAAGAAGACCTTCGGCTCAGTTGATACTCAGTTATAATAGAAAAGGAATAATCTTTCTCATGCCTTAACAGCTGTAAGGTTCTTTATGTTCTTAAATTTGATCTTGGTTTGTTTGTAGATCTTCTTGAATTCAGTGAAGATCGCAGCCCTTGGGAGTCGGTGGAAGAGAAACTTACTGCGATTCGGTAACAATTAATTGCTTTATCTTATTTCCTATCTTTCCTGCTATCGGCCTAATTTTTGAACTCGTTCTCTCATTACTGGACTTTCGAAAAGACTGACTTCCTTGTACTCATCCTTCTTTGTTTCAGCAGTCATGTTTCACACCTTCTGTTTTATTTTTTTGTACAGGGATATGATGAGGAAGATGGTGAAACAGATGAGGCCTGGAATCGGATGAATGGAGCTTTGTGTGCCCCAGTCCCCTTTTTATGCGCCGATTTCTTTAGTCATTTAACTGGTAATTTTTATACAACAACGTTGACGCCATGAGATTAGTTGAAGGCTCTAAGCCTTATCTGCTTTTTTTCTTATTTGTTTTCTGTGGTATATTCGTAAGAAAACAAAAGAAAGGCTAATGAAAACAAAATGAGTGGACGTAAAGGGGCCAGTCAGTTCTAAAAGCCAAGCGTAGTATAACATGCGTTTAAGCAAATCGATTGGTCGTAAATAAACGTTTAGTACACAAAAAAAAAAAACACCACCGAGCTTTCTTAAAACTGTTTGAAAAGCTTCATTTTGTATCCGACACTCTTGACAGTAAACTTGAGTGTGATTAACATTGTATGCTTACGAAAAATGAAGGTCAGCTTTGAGAGAGTTAGCTTATAGAAATTACTAGTTTTTGCTTTGTTTTATATAACCACAAGACTTCTCCCACAGAATTATTTATGAAATGTGAGGTTAATTAGGAGATATTTAGTTTATACAGAGTTCTTTTATTTATCATTTTACCACGGATACTTTTATTGAAGAGTTTAGCGTACAATGAATGAAAATAAACTAAAATCAACAAGGACTATTGTGGGAAAGACTTCTTTGGGTTTCATTTCGAATAGAAGATTTATCAGTAGTATTTTGCAAATTTGCTACGTCGTACTGTCAGTCCTACTGACTTCAAAAACTGAAATGAAGAGCTTCATCGTAATCTTAGTGGTGTTTATGTATGCAGTAGGAAGTCAAGTGAAAGGTCCTGAGTTGTAAAATTGGAATACGTGACTTGCACAGACACCCTCTCAATACATTACCATTAAAAAAAAGCTTCTGCTGTAATCAACGTTAAAGGTCTCGGTTCATGTTAGGACTTGTTGTGAAAAAACAAAACAAAACCAAAAAATAGACAATGAAAACAAGTTAACAAACACTACGTCGATAGTAGGTCAAGAGGTTGTCAGTCTACGGCACTAGAGAAAAAGAATTGAAATCACTCGGGGAGAATGAATCATCTGTCGCACACATGAAAGCTTGGTCCGATATACCAGAAAACATAATCCGTAATGAGTAGCAAAGCCTCAGCGGGCTCTATTTTCGAATTTTGGCAAAAAAATTATATTTATCTCCCGTTCTCCCCCATCTTAATATTGCCTGGTGTTAACAAAATAAGTTACTTAATTTTTTGCAACACTTTTTTTAGGGGGAAAAAAGGGACTTTTAAGTCACTTATTAGACATGGATTACAAGATTTCTGTTTATTATGTTTAATGCATAGAGGGTTGTTGACTACCCACTTAAGGGAGGCGTTCCAACTGCTTTTGCCACTCAATGTAGCTTAGCCAATCGCCTCAGTAATGAGGCCGTAGATTCTTTTGATTGAACTTACTAGTGCAATAGGATTATTTCAAAGGGGCTCAATAGTTATCCATGAGCAAATAGGCTTAACAGTCTTTTTAAAAAACTTTACACCTGTCGAATGATCGTTTCATTTCCAATTTTACTGCGATGCGAAACGTAAAAGAATCAGCCTTGTTAGGTTTATCATTCTCTTCTGGGGCTTTAAGTAAGGCTGAGGTCCTACTATCCATCTATTTTTGTGAAATTTTGATTTTATATGGCATATTTTTACCTATATCAACATTAGCCTAATTATAGGTAGCCACCTGATTCAGACACGCATAGCTCTATTCGCTATTCGCTAACCTCTGTAACTAGAGATAATATTCAGAAAAAAGCCTATACCCGGGAAGGAGTATTTGAATTATTTTTAGCGTTTTGAAATTCCAGAGAGTTGTTTATCAAGGAGAAATACATTCCCTTCAATGGTTTCAATAAATGCAAGGCACTTTCACGGGCAAAAGATATGAAGTTTGTCATACACACTGAGATGGATCGCTCGCGCATTTTAAATAAGTAATTGGTACTGAACTAAGGCCTAACTGGAAAAAATTATCAGTGAAGTGAGTTTTAACGAGTATTGGGTTAGCAGTTACCGTGAGGAAGCCACCCTATATTGCCATATGATGACAATAACAAATCTAACAGATGACGAAAAACAAACGGAAACATTTCAAAAAAAGAAGACATGCTCCCCTTCTTTGGCTGGAGGACTACAATATAAACCAATTTATTTATCAACAGTCAACATTCTCCTTCTCATCACAGCATTTCATGGCAATTTTCTTATCCTTGTTGCCCTTCACAGGGAATCTTCCCTTCATCCGCCGTCCAAACACTTGTATCGTTGTCTGGCAACAACTGATCTGTTGTTGGTCTTGTTAGCCAGCCCTTCAATGCTATTTATTGGATGCTCGTGGTTCACAAACGATACCCAAGGGACGCAGCCTACATAACAAGCTATGCATTATGTGTAGCTCTGTGATGACGATGGCGGCCATAAGCTTGGACAGACTTCTCGCCCTGTTGTTGGGGCTGAAATACAGAAAAATTGTGGCTTTGAAGCGCACATATATTTAGGTTTTATCTGATGCCGCTGTTTTAAGCTTCATTTTAAATTACATTTGGTATACTCACGTAACCAGGCCATCTTACTTATTGATATCAATCACTTCGTACACAAAGATTTTTGGCGCCCTTAGTCATCACATATATTGTTTGAACTGCCTTTTGGATTGCAGCTGCTGTTGCTGCTCTATGTACCATTTTTGATCACCGTATAACCTTTTTTATGGCATTCTAATTATACCATCTTGTCTGGTTTTAACTCGCCTCGTACGCAAAGATCTTTCACACTCTCGGTCGTCATGACGCTTGAGTACAAAATCACGTTCAACATCAGCAAAGCCAACTAAACGCACCGAACGCAAGTACAGTTATTTTTTATTGTTTGTTCTGTGCCATATGGTGTTATGGAAATCGTTACCAGCTATAACAAAACATATTCATCACATGTAGCTATCTTTTGGGAAATAGCAGTTTCCATAGTTTACTTTAACTCAACGTCAAACCCGTTGAAGTAAGACAAACACTGAAGCAGATAATCAGACAAGCTCTCTGCCGTCCATGGACTTAAATCCCGTTTGAGTTTCAATGGCCGTATTGCTTTACAAAGTTACGGTTATCATTAGATATTCGATTTCATTAGCGTGCAAACTGTTGTTGGTATGATCTATTTCCATATGAAAGACAACGAACGATAACCTTAAACATCCCAAGCACATCATTGTTGAAGTGAAGACACTTATCTTCGATACAACAAAAGATGAATAAGGAGAAAAGCCTCTTGCACGTATGGTCTAGAAACAATTGCTTGAGTGATATCAATCCTCACCGAACGTTAACCAAGTAAAGAGGGTTTTTCTTTGCCATACTATTCAAAAATGATGATAACAGAATTGTTCAAGTGAAGGCACTTATCTTCGATACAACAAAAGATGAATAAGAAGAAAAGCCTCTTGCATGCATGGTCTAGAAACAATTGCTTAAGTGATACCAATCCTCAATGAACGTTAACCGAGTAAAGAGGGTTTTCTTTATCATACTATTCAAAGATGATGGTAACGGATGTCTTCAAGCTTGCCTCTCAATTCTTATTGATACCTGAGGCATATGGAAAATTCGTGGAACAAATTTACCTTTTTTGACACCCCACACGGTGTTTTTGTGTATTTCAGCTAGACAGGTGCTTTTAAGAACAAAAATCTCTCGATCGTTACAATTACAAGTAACCGTAAGGGAAAACGTACATCGTTTGCAGAATGATGGCGGCAACAAATTCAACGGGAGATGGAACGCAGATGAAAACATTTGAAGAACTTGTATGTTCCTCTTCTTCGGAGGGCGAATTGCGACAATACTCCTTGCGTCTGTCAGCAGTCATCATTTTCTTTTCCCTTACAGCATTTCTTGGGAATGCCCTGATCGTCGTTGCACTTCACAAGGTGGCTTCCCTCCACCCGCCGTCCAAACTCCTGTACCGTTGTCTGGCAACGAGTGATCTGTTGGTTGGTCTTATAGGCCAGCCTCTCACTGCTACTCTTTGGATGTCGGTTGTTTTCGAACAGTGGAGACTTTGTCGATTCGCATGGGTAGCAGCCTCCATTTCAGGGTATGGATTATCTTTTGTATCTTTGTTGACACTGGCAGCCATGAGCGTGGACAGACTTCTCGCCCTGTTGTTGGGGCTGAGATATAGACAAATTGTAACTTTGAAGCGCACATATATCATTGTCGTTGCTCTTTGGATTGTAACCGTTGTCGCTACTCTATGCGAGGCGTTAGGCTCTCATATAGCGCCCTGGTTCGGTCGAATTGTCATCCCATGTTGCCTATTAATCTCGATTGCTTCATATGCAAAGATTTTCCGCGTTCTTAGTCATCGTCAAGCTCAAGTACAACATCATGTTCAACAACAGCCGAGCCAACCAAATGCACTGAACATGGCGCGATACAAAAAGGCAGTGTACAGTGCACTGTGGGTGCAGTTAGTGTTACTTGCTTGTTATGTGCCTGTGAGTTTAGTGGGAATTGTGATGGCTCATAGAAAAGGAAATTCATCGCATTTAGTCGTCGCTCTTGGAATAGCGAATACTCTGGTTTATTTTAACTCGACTTTAAATCCGTTTCTTTACTGCTGGAAGATTAGTGAAGTAAGAAGAGCAGTTAAGCAGACAATCAGACAAGCGCTTTGCTGTCCACGAGGTTAGATCTTCCATTATACTCTTTTTTAGTTGTTTCAAGCGAGTATGTAGTGTGACGATGCTATTAGATAACGCATCCTGTCGGATATGTCATTTCATCATAACCATTATAATTTCCTCAAATGTGATTGGTGCATTAACTGCTTTATTTTTTGCTAATCATTCTGTAGAGCTGTAATCGGACAATGTAATCGGACAGTTGGCTGTAGTCGGACACCTGTAATCGGGCAGTTGAAGTAGTCAATCACACTAAGTCCACTCATCCAAATCCACCAATCACAGAATTAAACACAATAACCATAGCAACAGCCACTTATCCTAAAAAAAGAAATTGGGAATTT